GTTGTAGATAGAGAAACATAATCTATCATTCCCTTGTTATGTAGACAGAGAAATAGAATCTATGACTCTTCTGTGTGTTGTAGATAGAGAAACATACTCTATCATTCCCTTGTGATGTAGACAGAGAAATAGAATCTATGACTCCCGTGTGATGTAGACAGAGAAATAGAATCTATGACTACCGGGTGATGCAGACAGAGAAATAGATTATATCACTCCTGTGATGTAGACAGAGAAACAGAATCTATCATTCCTGTGTGATGAAAACAGGAAAATAGAATCTATCACTCCTGTGTGATGTAGACAGAGAAACAGAATCTATCATTCCTGTGTGATGAAAACAGAGAAATAGAATCTATCACTCCTGTGTGATGTAGACAGAGAAACAGAATCTATCATTCCTGTGTGATGAAAACAGAGAAATAGAATCTATCACCCCTGTGTGATGTAGACAGAGAAACAGAATCTATCATTCCTGTGTGATGTAGACAGAGAAATAGAATCTATGACTCTTCTGTGTGTTGTAGATAGAGAAACATAATCTATCATTCCCTTGTGATGTAGACAGAGAAATAGAATCTATGACTCTTCTGTGTGTTGTAAATAGAGAAACATAATCTATCATTCCCTTGTGATGTAGACAGAGAAATAGAATCTATCATTCCTGTGTGATGTAGACAGAGAAATAGAATCTATCACTCCTGTGTGATGTAGACAGAGAAACAGAATCTATCATTCCTGCAGTACGTAGACAGAGAAATAGAATCTCTAATTCCTGTAGTACGTAGACAGAGAAATAGAATATATCACTCATGTACGTGTGATGTAACAGGAGTTTGAGGAGAATGTACAGTAGTAGATTATCAATGTATTTCTACCACAATACGCTGTGTTATTCCTCTCTCTGATCATTGTATAAACATGCAGACTTTTGAATAAATATGATTTATACACCACACGTGGTATATGACCATCCGTAGTTTTGATTGGTCGAGAAGATGAACCTTGACTGGACGACTTGTTTCACATGCTTTTTGCCGCGTGCTGTTTTGTTTACATCGTCTGCTGTCAACATCCTAACAAATGTTGGTGACTTTTGTGAGGTTATGCGATGGGAAAACGGGGTTATTAAGGCAATACCAAAAGAAGATGTAATATATATGTCTCTGTGATACCCAAACAAGATCTGTAACAGTGTCGGAAAATATTTTGTTCTCCCCATATCCCGTTATCAATATTTGGAGGCCCAGTCTATGGCAGAACTCTCACTATAAACGTCAACCATAGAACCTCACGGAGAAACGTCGCAGGCCTATGGTTTTGGACATTGACAGCGATAATAGTTTGTCTACATCACTTGGTGGGAGGCAGATAGTCTGTGGTTAATTTATATTAATAAATGCAATATTGCATACTCTCAATATTTAAAGTCGTTCATCTATTTTATTTTTTCACAAAGTTGTTATCAAAACATTAATTTTGAAAATTATTAATTTGTAAAAAAAAAAAGTCGTTTTTGAATATTAATGAGTGACTTTTACATATGGGTCTTATCACTGTGCTAGCCTTGTCAACAAAATATGTTTATGCTATTCAAATCAGGAAATACTCCAGCTGTTTCCGACTGAGATTGTGGTAGAAACAGATCACACGACTCATGTTGTTGAGTAAGGTATTTATTTCACTCTCGTTAGTTAATTTCCAAAAGGTACAGGAAGCTTGTGTCTTTTGTAACTTTTGAAAATTAACTAACTCGAGTGAAATAAATACCATATTCAACAACCACTCTACAGTCTAGTATAACCTCTATTCTTTAGCTCCCAGGGGATATATTGCTGTATACCCCGATAGGCTAAAAAGGGTAAAAATGTATATGGAATAAATATAATATGTATATATTATTAGGTTATACGTTATTAATTTCATATAAATATTTCTTGATTATTACTTGTGTACATTCATATTACAATATTAGTTGGTTCATGTCATGAAATAAAATACTGATATCATAGTACTGTATAGATATTATTATAATAATATTTAATATATATATTTGTGGTTTTTGATATTTATCTCTTATTTAATATCTATAGAATATACTATAGGCAAAGAAGTAATAAATAACAACAGAGCAGAAATACAAATTTGTCAAATTTTCAGGGCAATTGGCTCCTACTCTATTATTTCTTTGTCTATATATCTATTAAAGTTAAACACACATGCAACGAACATTTGCTTGTTCGGATCCAGTGCCCATATTGGATGAAATACTGTCGTTATTACTTATGAGATTATAAACAGTGTATTGTACTTTATATAAATGATAGATATATACATTATCAATAAAAATGTTGTGTTTGCTTCATGAAAATACCTTTTGTTTTAATATTTGTATTATTACTGTCAAATTGTCAACCACTATAAGTTTCATACATTAACCTTTTCACCACTGTAGACCAAAATGGACTCATCCAGATCAATGCATGGTAGAGTTTATAGTCAAGTTTGTAGGGGTGAAAGGGTTAAAACAGCTGTTATAGAAAAATCTTACTACATGGCCTTGACAGTATTTATAGATATGATTCATAGTCTGGTTTGATTACAATATTTATATCTATACTTAGGGTCATATCTATATTTGATATTTTAAGGTATGGAATGTATGTATACATGTCATATGACAGTGTGAAAAAAAATGCAACTTGTAAGACAAAAATAATTATTTTTATTTTCATTGATCTATAAAGCCAAATGAAATTAAACGTGTGTTTCTTATTCCATTTGGATTTTGAGTGCAGCTTTTTAAGGTAGTTAGTCAAAAGATTTTTCCAAATAATTTTGTGTTCGACAAGAGTTAACCGTTTCAACACTGTAGACCATAATGGACTCATCCATATCAATGCATGGCAGAGTCTACTTAAGTTACATAGGGGTGAAAGGGTTAATTTAGAATTGAAGTTGAATGTGTACTTTCAGGTAAAATAGAAACATCAACACTTAAACGTATATATTTAACAAACACATAATAAACACTGGGTTACAACCGAGAACAAAATAAAAATGTCATATCATAGATCTGCATGTTAATTGAAATAAAATTCCATTTTAAAAGTTTAAATGAGTTATATAACTATTGTGTATCACTGTATACTCCAGTGGTTATGAATGAGGGGATTCTTCTGAATGGTATTTGTTAAACCAAGTTTCTTATTTTTGTCTATGAAATATTTCAGGCAGAAGGAATAGGAAACACACATATATTTTGTTTGGCCTAATGTTCTACACTTGACTTATATAGTGTAATAGTGTTATATTGTATATAAATGTGTATATATATATGTTACTAATTTACATAACCCTTTAAAATCATCCGTTACTTGGCTTCGTTAACTTAGCATTACGCCTGAATGTAGTACCAATTTAACGGAGCCATGTAACAGATGATTTTAATTAGATTGTATATATCACACAGTATCTCCATAATAAATATTTGAGATAATCTCCTGAGACAAAATTGTGGACAAGGGGACAGATAGAAGGCAGACAGATGGACAGACGGACACCGTGATTAGTATAGGGCACCAGTAACTCCTTGATGGGTCCTTAGGGTAATAGTATTGTGTTGCCATTTCTCAGTAGAATTTCTTCAATATTTTGTAGTTACAATGCTTTGATGTAAAGAAAATTTTCTGCCACAAAAAAATATAGGTTGTCAAAATTTTAAGGATTTTAAATGAAAATGTATGTAAAAAGGAGTGAAATTTGAAAAAAAAAAAATGAAACACACATTCTTTACCAAAATAATGTCAATAAAAATGATGATAATGACATAGATTAGTATTGCATTAATGTATATCAATTTCATAAATGCTGAAATTGTGTAAAATTAATTATCTATAAACGATTCAAAATTGACATTTTATAATAAAACCATATACACATAGTAATTGCATGTAAGAGTTATCGTTCTTGAAAAACTTCACAGTAGTGAAATAGGTAGCCGGTTTCCTGAAGTACAGAAAAATGGACACATGTGACCCATTGATTAAAAAACAACTGAATTAATGCCTGGATTGCTTTGAAATACTTTAATATTGAAAGAACACACTGTCCTGTCAATAATGAACATGCAATATTCATCAGTTAATATTAAACATTAGAATATGTGGAAATTGTGATAGTACTGTCTCCCTACATTGGATTTTTGTTTAGCAATACAATCCTAAGGCTATGACCTTCTAAGATTGACCTTTTAAGATATTCTAAGGGTTGGGATTTCCCTGGTTTCTGATCCCTTGTTTAGCTCACATTCAAATATCTAATGATAAGTTCAATAACGCTATTCATCACCAACAATGTATAAAATGTGGGACACATTTGATAAAGCCACTCTAGGCTGTCTCCATGGTGACAGACTGATCTTATTGCTTCTATCTAGACATAATGCTGACCACCATGTGTAAACTTTGGAGAGGCTCAGAACTGAGTGTTGGGAGGCATAATGGTGACCAAACATTTCTGATAACATAACCGCAGAATGATTATATTAACCCCCATAGAATTTCAAATACGGCCGGAAGAATTCTTTTTAAATTGAGTTTGAAGGCCAAACTACTTTTTACTCCTGGCATAAGTCCCCGACTAGCCTTTATTCAAATGAGATAATCATGAAAAATTAATATCTAGCCCATGAATAAATAAACATTAGCCGTTTTCCATAACACAGGCTTTTGACGCTGTATTACATTCGAGTTACATTATAAACAAAACCTATATGTACCTAATTACATCTGCGATTATAAATGACATTGTATCAATATTTTAGGTAAATAACGGTAACCGGTAACCTTCTAAAAGAACGTTCTTTAGATTAGAGTGATTGCGTATTATGTATGATCGAGATAAATTTGTTGTATTTTGTTAATTAGATCCGACGTCAAACGCCCGTGATCCCATGCCAAACTTGTGCCTAATCCGTGTAATGGAGTACGGGTACTTACGTTACATTCCTGTCCCCACAAGACCCCTTGGGGAGGATCCTGATGCCCGGGGGTACCGCGCTAGCCATGTCTAGTTGGATATTAGTGCTGTCACGGAAGCCGCGGTGATGTTACAGAAGTGACAGGTTCCCGGTGTCCGTCGCGTGTCTATACCAGAACTGTGACAGGGTCAAAGGACAAAACTCAGGTGTGCGGGCGTTCGATACACCTCGTGGTGTATCATTACCACAGGATATGTGCATTGTCAGCTTACAAACCCTTACCAGAAGTGCTTGATTTAAACAGATTTCTTCTGAAATTGGAGATAACGTGTATTCCTCTCTACACACATTGCTACATATTAAATAGTCCAATATATATATATATAATCATAATGTGAAAACACTTCTACATTAAATCACGGAATTAGATTAGATACAAGGTTGTGATTTAATCTTATCACCGACTTAGATATCTAATCTAATTCCGTGATCTTATATATGTTCAGTCCCGAGGTTTGCTGTAGCCTTGATTGCAGTTATTGGCACGGATCATAATTTACACATTTCACAGATTATTTGAACAAATACTAGTCTAATATTTTTAATACATAAATTAACAGGTTTTTTTCTCAAATGGCTCCTCTGTTTTAACAGGGACAGTATATATACGTCCCTGGTTTTAACAGTAGTTAATACATTTTGGATTCCCAACTGTGTGGCTCAATACAGCGAGCATCAACGGCGAGTTTAAGCTAGACGGATGAAACAGCTGTGCGATATGCTGTGTAATTCATTTTTGGAGTAATGTGTGTTACGTCTCGGAATACGATTGCTATTTAAGTCCGTGGTTACGTCCATCTTTTAGACATCATTAACTTTATACAGAATAAACTCTAGGCTATGTCTAGATCTATCGTCATTTTTATTTATATTGTAGAGGTTTCCGTGAAAATGTTCGTTCACTCTGGCGATTTTGAATACGATTATCTTAAAATTTACACAACAATAGTATGAATAAAGGGTTCGGTCATAACTAACTATCCGGTCTATATGTGGAGTACGTTTAGGAAATACTGGCGATTTTCTTTTTTCTTTTTTAATTTAGCCTGATCTTTCACTTCCTGTGACAAACATATAGTGAGGTATGTGTGTATGCGCCGGATGCATATATTAAGGACATACCGCAATGCCCATGCACGGGTTTCCCTCTCCAGGTAAAAATAAATAAATACTACAGATTATACGAAGCGTCATTCCAGAAAAAATGATAACATCTCGTTTTCTAAATCAATATGTAGTTTATCAATTCTTGCTAAAGATATACAATTTATTGATTTTAAGATGAAAATTTGGTTGTGTCATATTTCAGCTAAAAATACCACATTATAGTCTTACCAAAGGTTTAGCAACAGGAATATTTTGACAACTTCAATGCCGAATAAAAGCGTTATCATGTACAAATCTCAAAATGTATTCTTCTGACTATAAAGTATAGGAACATTTAAACATATTGATGTCGAAATGTTAAATGTTTCATACAAAATGGTTGTGTCATTTTTAACTGAAAATGGTTCATAATTTAGTTTTCTGAAATTGTCCAAGTCTCGTCGCTGTACAGGTAAATCGACACCTCTTCCACATGGACTGCTGATATCCTGGTTATTTATTTGACATATAATGGATACATCGGCAAACTGTTACTTGTATGTTTACCGGTTTTTGTTTGTTAATTTATCAATTTGATTTACTCTCTTCAAATGATATAGATCGAACAAGAATGTCGAACAGAAGCGACTGGATATGCAAACAAGATTGGAGAGATAAACAGTAAAAGTTTACGTTGATTTACATGAAATAATGTAGTTATGCTGAGATTATGAGCTTTCTTTATTTATTTTATTATTATAACGTCAAATGATAAAATGTGTGTGCCTGCGGTTTTCTCATCATTTATCTTACAGTCACGGGGGCCGCGGGGGCGAAGTTGTCAATGCGTCTGACATTCTGCTACCACTAGCCCTCCACCCCGTGGGTCGCGGGTTCCAGACCTACGTGGGGCATTCGCCAGATACTGGCCGTAGGTCGGTGTTTTTTTCTCCTGGAACTCCGACTTTCCTCCATCACCAAAAGAAAGCTGGTCCGTCCTTAAATGACTAAAGCTAGTAATAGGACGTAAAACACAAACAAACAAAAACCTTATAGTCACGGTCAGTATGGTTTTACATCGTAGCTATTGGTCATCGGTTTTGATAATTAACTGTAGGCCAAAGTGATAATAAGCAAGTATAAATGACAAACTGGACAATTTAGACACCATCACGAAACGTCATAAATCATTAAATTGGTCATAGATATCTAAAAATTTAGAATTATGTAAAAAATGAAAGTCTACATTCCTTGTATCACCATATAAATGACAAACTCTTTCCAATAAAGAAGTTTATTATTTGCTTAACCGACAATCCTTCATATATATATACATGTATTCGATTTAAATATTTGCATCTAACTCTTTACCATTGTTTTTCCACAACTAGTCAAATTCTCCGTCAATTGTCTTCATTCAAATTTAACGGTTTCGGATTCGTTCATGTGGCATTTTTCAATCTATGTATAGAATACTAACACCAAGACCCGTATTCACGAAACCGTTCTCGTGCTTAAACACGAATTCTGTGCTCAAGCCGACTTTCTCGTACAGTAACTCGCTTATATCGAGTAACACGGCCAAAAGTCAATTTAAACATTGAAAACATTATTTGGCTGGAAGTTTCTCCAAATGTCTAACATATCATTGACAAAACAATGATCGTTTTATTAATGTATCTCTGGCACTAGAAAATGGACTTGAGCACAGAATCTGGGTTTGAGCGTGAGAACAGTTTCATGAATACGGGCCCAGCTTTGGTATGTGAAACGGATAAATATATCTTTTTAAAATGCAAATAAATTACAATCCAGAAGAAAAGAACAGCAACTTCGTTATTTTTTCTCTCACAACCACTACAGGTTTCCACACTCCCGACTCATTGGATCTTTGTAAAATCAGTAGTAGTTAAAATCCTAGACGTTATTTCATTGGCCAACCTTCTAATTATGACGTCAAGGAGCAATGCATTGCGACGTCATCTTCCATTATAGTAAATGTTTCCCCGATCGGAAACAGGAATGCTGAATTCCCAAGAGATACATATGGGTTTTCAGATAGTATGTCTTAATTTTCCGGGAGAAAAAAGTCCTCAAACTTGTGATGGTTGATAACTTTCGTTCGCTTATTTTCAAATTGTAAAAGACACTCGGTAAATCTCGTGTTTTTATACAGTTTAAAAATTATTCATCTCGAGTTAGATAAAAAAAAAAAAAAAAAAAAAAAAAAACATCACTTGTTGGGGAACCCTCTATATTGTCTAAAGGAAATTGCCGTAAACTTGACTTCTAGCAACAAAATGATAATGAGCGCACACATATATACATTCGTTTTCTTAATTATACAATGTGCATGTCTAATCAAACGTATAAGAACTGCAACGTAAGCAGCTAAAATAGATCATTAAAACCATAATGAGCGTGTGTTATTTTATGTAAAAATGTGAAAACAAGCTAATAAAGGGGGATAACTCGTGTGTAAATCAATCCATACGGTATCTATCAACTTCTCCTCTGGAACAGATTTTTTTTAAATCTCTGGTGTCAGTAAGGTGCTTGATAAAAGATTAGCAATTTTTTTCTTCCTATTTTCAATGTGTACTGTATCACGTCTAACGCACTTGAAGACTGGCTACCGGCCATTATTTTTTGTGAAGAATTTCCCAGCTGCTACTGTAGCTTATCTCCTTAGTTTGAGAACTAAGAATAAGACATCCAATTGATCAAAATTATTAGAATTTATTTATTTATTTATTTATTTTCTGAATAATTCAACATTATAGAGGCGGAGGCCAGACTATCAATTGGTTGTGATTCTATCTTCCAGAATTTGTTTTTAATGTTTAACTAAAAGAAAACTTTCGCTTTTCAGGCTTTAAGTTAGGTGTCATACAGGGTTTCTTATTCAGGGGCGTTTCTAGGATATTTGAAATAGGGGGCGTATAATAAAAAAATGGACCTTTTTTTTTGCTATAAAAACATAAAATAATTGTGAAATGCATTAAGGAACGGTTCCTGACTTGGAGCATGTATATTTTATAGTTAAAGTGTCAGGGGGTTTATGTGTTTAATTGAATATGATAAATTGCCATATTCAATACAATATTAGCAGATCACGATAGTTTTGGAAAGGGGGGGGGGGGGGGGGGGGGCGTACGCCCATTACGCCCTCAACTGGACCCGACCCGATTATTTCTATATAATTGACGTCACTGCCCGAGACAAAAATAGCATAAGTTTTATACAAAATGTTCTTTCTTGTAGATGCAACCAAGCTTGCAATGTAACAACACTTTCATTGGTTTATGACCATACAGACCAACGCTTTTCCAAAAACCTCCCCGCAAAAGTGTACCAGTAAACAAGCGTGTCCCGGGACAACTGGTTCATTTGTGAAATGAGTGTATCCGCATTTAATTTTGAATACATTTGAAGATTTGCAAACGGACAGACACTCTAGATCTACTTTAAACATGTAAAGATCACCACGGTCAAAATGTTCCGCTGAACCACTGACTTAAAAAGAAATCTAATTCCGTGGCTGAATTTACCGCGAAGATGACTTGAAATAGCGTTTGTAAATCTGTCAAATGCTGATTTCATGTGTTGACGAGCGATGTCGATAGATTGGTGAATTTGATTGGTTGAAATAATAGAGGGACTTCCGTGTTTATTGTTTATCGTCTGTCAGTCGATTGGCGAAATGAAAAAAAAATCCTTCCCAAATATATCAAGGTAAAATATATAAAAAAAAAAGCATGCCCACAGGCCCAGACATGATGTAATGCACAGCTTGTCGTGAAATGGGGACATGTATTTATGAATATACATAGACATCACTTGACAAATGTTAGCACAAAAGAACAGCTTATTTAAATTATTAGATTAGCTAGGTCACCTTGCTTATCAAAAGGCGTTTTGACACTAAGATAGACACGACACAGACTTCCGTTACCGTTTTACATGGTAGAATATACATTGTAGATGTTTTTATATTATGGTGGAATATATGATACAATTAACACAGGGGTGGGGGAGGGGNGCGCATTGTCAACCTAAGATTACACATACACGTATATGGAAATGTAAAATTTACATGTTTCAAACCAGTTGTCATCTCTTGAATGTTTCGTTGAATATGAACTTATCCACATTTTCGTGAACTATAATGCTATTTCTGATTACATGAGGGTAAAATGAAGCACATTACAAATGCTTGAAAGCTGTCCATACCGGCCGCTGCACTAAAGATTCGAAAATTCACTGTAAAGCTGATCGCTATAGCTGTATTTTAAATTTTGATGTAAACATGCAAATAAACGATAATCATATTTCGATCTAAATAAACACATTTTTGTTTAATGTTGATTTCCTATTGGTTAAACCATTTCTTAACGTCAGTTTTGTTTCATTTGAAACTTAAAAACAAAATTGGCCTAGTTGTTACTGAAAATTATCTTGAGTTACTTCCCTTATACCAATAGTTGTAGATTGGCTCCACCCGCTCATGTCATAACAAAATTGAAGGGACAAGAAGACTAGTTCGATCCTGTGATGTACATCAAAAGAATCTCGCGGTCCGTAACGGTAAAAATGACAGGCTTTGAAGCCGGGCGTCTCTCCTTTGTAATATTCAAAGGACAGGTATCAAAGCCTAGCGATTGGTCAGTATTTTATTTCCTGAGACCAGTGCAAAGCAAAAGTAAGCGGGAACCCTAGATATTCAGAAGTAAAAAGTTAATGCCATGCTTTCCAATCGTTTGAAGACTGAAGTTTGTACATTATTTTCGGGCAATGACATACAGAATCTATCTCACAGGTGTGCTAGGAGTATATTTACAAGGTGACAGAACCCAAAATGGATCATTGAAAATTAAGCGGATGAATTATATTAGTTTTTGGTTGTATCAAAAGAAGAATGTCGATGAGAGATATTTATAGAACACTCTGACGTCACCAACACTCTGACGTCACCAATAAGCGTTTCTGTTTTGGTGTTTTTTGCAATGTCAGTACCCAAACCGGATCACAGCTTGAATTTTGTAGTATTTTGCGCTTCAAAGGAATTTTATATAGGCATTTATTAACATTTCATTATGATCTTTAGAATTTGAATGATTTTTTTTCTTCCATATTAGGAATTTATTCCTACAGTCAGAAACAAAACTGATTAGTCCTCGCACGTGCCATAATCTAACAACGTAAACAAAAATCTAGATTTTGCGTTTGAAATACGTCTTCTGGTGCTATTTGAACTAATATAGTAATCGTCTCTAGTCTAAATATGATGAATAACTTTGTATTATAAGGAGAGATTATTGGAAAGAGTGATCCGATTGGGGTACTTGATCCGATGTAGGTACTACCTCCTCATATGCAAATTCCGTCCTTATATGACCTGGATGTAGCTACAACGTTAAACCACAAACAAACCAACATGCAAATTACGACTTTTGTTGGTATACACGTTAATTGTTATAGTTTCCTTACATTTGAAATATCTTGTCATTTTTCGTTGCAGTAATACATGATACTTCCATGTTCTCCTGTTTGGCTCTGACCTGTTTCTGTTTCTCGTTCTTGTAATGCAGATCACTTCGAAACTACACAGGAACATGGTCTACTCAGCGATTCCCGCTATGCACAAAAGATGGCGACCAGGAACGGTATAACTGACATCGCTCCACATTTGACCGATGGAATGAATTCTGTAGAATTATATACTGAGGACTGTTAAAGATTGTACACCATTGAAGGTCTCACGTGTAACTTCCGTTTTTATTCACGCTGACTGCGCATGTCAAATATAATATACTTTCAAGTTGCTTGCACGTTACCTGTAACCATTACCGCCGAAGCTATCACTATCGGTGTCCGACTTTCTTCGGATACTTCCGACTTTCTTCGGATACTTCCGACTATGGAGTTCGCCATAGTGATGTGGAGGTAAACCTGTTTAATTGTAGGTTCACCCTTTTGGAAATTACAGCATCGCAAGGCTCATTTTGCACACGGACATATCTGGTTATTTGCCGACGTTGACAATTTTCGGTCAGTGGTAAATGTTACTGTGTGAGAAAACAATAGAGACAGTAAACATAGACTCCCACAGTAGGTAGAAACGTACTCATAAAGCCGAATATACGCTTCATAGCATCTATCGGGTAGATGATCTGGAAGATAATTCTGGCGATGACAAAAAGGGTGACGAGGACAGGTATCGTTTTCATCGCTTCAGGGGACAGGTAGGTACATAGGGCGAGTTGACCGATGAAATGGAAGACGAACTGTTCTAATGTGTTGCGTAGAATTTTATTCTGTACACTGACGAGATGTTCACCGTTACCTTTGATAGGATCGCTAGCAGCTTCCGACTTCGCTCGCATCTTACCGACTCCCTGGATACCCATCAGCAAGGTTAGGCCTCCCAACAGTTGCCATCGCAACGTGAATATGAGTCTGTCTGTGACTGACGTCATCACCGGAAGTGAGAACGGGAACAGGTAGTATCCTCCAATGATATACGCTGAGAATGCCGTGACAGTGAGAGCGAGTCTAAATCTTAGAACCGACAGCAGTCTTGGTGACAAACCTTCGAAAACCATTTCGGTTCCTGTGATGGCTGTTTCCGGAATTATAGTTTCTTGAAACCTACGACATAAGCAGACACAACGATATATGAATTCTCTCCCGGCTATATGCACACTAACCTTTTACCGAGCGCCCGACTTGTTTACTCTACTTGGGCCGCTTTTGTTTATCGCGATCCAAACGGTTGAACCGATTTGACCAGAGAATTTCGTTAAGGTCTGACCTAGTAATCAGATGCTGTTTTCATGCGAGCATGCCTTAATTGCAAGGCTGCATAAATTTTGGCAGGTCCGTCAGGATTTATACTCGAAAATATTGCATTTAAAAACAGACGAACTGGTTGTTCCGCATAAACGAACAGGTCCCTGTGGTAGCGTTACATACTTTTAACTGTGGGAACGTTCTATATATTGACTCTGCGACAACAAATAGACGGTCGGTTAGGTTTAACGCGATAACGAGGGCACCATGCTGAATGACACTGCCGAGCACTTCAGTAATGTTTAGATAAAACTCTGTACGATGGCATGACATTTCAGAGTCTTTTATACTACAGAAGGTGGTTTGCTCTGCTGGTGGACTACCAATCCGCGAGCCTGGCTGTAGCCTTGTACACGTACATTGTAGCTAGTTTTTTTTTATTCTGAAAGGATTAAAATGAAATTATAGTTAAAGATGAGCGTAACATCCTCCCAAACAGCACTATACAGTGCATACTATTACTATAATTAATTATAAATCAAGTCGTACTTTGGGTACCTGTAGGTAGGTTGTATTTACGATGCGCTACATTCAGATCCCTTTTCGGCGAGGTTGTGTTAAATCATTTTGTCTTTACAGCAACAAAAAATCCCCTATTTTTCGATCAATGTCCCATTATACATTTCGGAACACTATCTTAATGATAAATAATTAAACAGAAAACCTTTCAATTTGATAGTTAAAAATGAATAATGCATGTCTTTAAATAAGTTTCCGAGTATTTTTTTTATATATATGTATATACAAGGAACGTTTATGAACATACTTGTGTTATCCTATATTTTTTGCATTCAGATAAAAACAAAATTAATTATGTTTTGTTCTGGCAAACGTTTCGAAGAAGAGTTGCTCGTAGTTTTATTCCAGAACAAACTTGAAATTGAAGACATCATACTTAGCGACGATAATGGTCCTTTCATACCAAAATACATTTTGTATATAAAAAAAGGGTGATGACTTTAATTTCCCATTTTTCTTGATTCTGTTATACGTACTTTTGATCATTGATTCCTGTTGTTAAATGATAATTAATAATAATAATAATTCGAGGTTCTTATATACTGCTTTATCACAACCTAGTTCGTATGTCGTCTCAAAGCGGTTCAAAAATTATCATCCGTGGTAATAGGGACAATATCTTTCTAAACTCCCTGGGGAGCATACAGCCGGAGCTGCCATTTCGGCGCTCACAGCTAGCATTCCACAATTCTAGCACTGCCCAACCACGTACTCATTTACAGCTGAGTAGACTGAAACAAGAGGAGTAAAGTATCTTGTTCAACGATACAGCACAGTGCCGTGATGTGACTCGAACCTGCAACCCTTCGGTCACGAGCCCGCGTCCTACCACTAGACTTCCGTGCCTCCAAACTACATAGAGAAATTCTATCTACCTGATTTCCAAATTTTGCGATTTCTTTTTTCTCGACTATGATTTCTGATTTAACCGACGTAGTTCCCTGAGTTTGACAGGAGGCATTATAACAGTCCTCACATGTGGTTCCCCGAAACGCTTATTATTTGGGATCGCCTGGTTTTGCCTACATGTGGATGCTTCGCCTTTTTACTATTTAATATGATGCTATAAGGGTTTAATTGTTAGTTAAATATATATATATATATATATGTTGAATATGTAATTTGGGGGGTTTTGTAGGATTCCTTGCCGACGTGGAGATTTTCATATACAATCAAGCCAGGATTTAAGGTTCAACGTTTTTATTCACCCAGGAGTTTCATCCCTGTTAGTCATTAAAATATACATATAATACACATACATTTCGTATCGAACGCACCTGACTAAAATAACGCAATACACAATACACACGTACATTGATTATAACATTCCACACCACACGTTTTCCAAACGACCAGACTATAACTGGACAATACATAACTGACGAGATAATTTACACAATGGCGTACGCAATAATATATAAATGTGGTTTACACTATAATGGTACGTTCTCCATTTATAAATATATAAACTAGCATTCTAGTGAGAATAAATACATACGCTCTACTAAATGACAAAATTATTGACCACGCCCGTCGGCGAAAATATAAAGGTAAATTAGAAATAGTCAGAAAATAATAATTTCAAGAATAAATAATACTTTACTTCTAATTCTATACTAGTTCCGAATATATAAAAAGTATTATTCTAGCCTATAAAATAAACAGAACAGTGACCTACCTAGTATGTGGTACCTGGGATAGCCTCCGTTCATGATGCTCATAGGGCAGATTGAGATGATCGATGTATTCAATATGGAAGGTATCGATGAAATGGGCAGATAGAAAGTTCAGAGGTAGCGAAGAAAACTTTAGGGCGGGAAAAATGCACGCAATGCGACAGATGTCATGGGTCATTGGTCAAGTTGTCAAACTAGTTTACAAAAGACATACACAACATACACAATACGTCACATAGACCACACACGTATACACATCTAAAAACGAAAGTAGCGATGACGTGACACGGCGACTTCGGTAGTGAAAACGCGGCACGGATAACGGAATGAAAGAACAAAATACGGATTAGAATATAAATAATGAAATCGTAAATTATATTGTTACTAAAGAACTCATATTCAGTATGTTCCCACTGAGTATGTACTTATTCAAATAATTATGAATATCAAAATAACAAGGGTGCTACAAATACAGAATCATCTAATAACGTTTATTTATGCTATATTGTGGGAGCCACGACTCAGCTAACAAATAGTGTTATACCCTTAGTGAAAATCCTGTAATCTGATTGGTCGAGCGAAGATGTTCATTTCACGCTGTCGCATACGCTTTAACATTGAGTCATTTGAAGGGTGTTTCCCAACGCCCTAGCAACGAGTGCCAGTATGTGTGATAATACAAAATAAAGACCGCGCACAGAAGAAGAGCGTACGGTTCGTTTCAGCCGCTATGCTCTTTTAGTTTGGTATATTAAAAAAAAGACTACATTCATTAGAGTGTGACAGTAACTCTTATTATTTAGAGGCAGCTTGGCCTCGGGTGACAGTAATACCCTCGGGGTGACCCTAGACACTGTCACACTCTAGAAGCCGAGGGTGACAGTGACATCCTCGGGCAGACCCTAGACACTGTCATACTCTAGAAGTTGAGAATGAAAGTGATACCCTCGGGTTGATCCTAGACACTGTCACACTTTAGAAATCGAGGGTGACAGTGATACCCTCAGGGTGACACTAGACACTGTCACACTCTAGAAGCCGAGGGTGACAGCGACACCCTCGGGGTGACCCAAGACAGTGTTACACTCTAGAAGCCGAGGGTGACAGTGATACCCTCGGGGTGACACTAGACACTGTCACACTCTAGAAGCCGAGGGTGATAGTGATACCCTCGGGGTGACACTAGACACTGTCAAACTCTAGAAGCCGAGGGTGACAGTGATACCCTCGGGGTTTCTTTAGTGTAAAGCACTGTCTCACTGGTATAACGTTCCACGTATACTCTTCTTCGATATCCAGGGGTTACACTCACTTTCGCTCTCTACACCCCTGGAATATGTCATGGCACAGTGTGCGCCACCTTTTCGATGAGACAAGAAGGCTAGTGCGATCCTTTGATGTACTTCAAAAGAACATTGCGGTGGCGTAGAAATTGTAATATGAATTTTAAGTAACGGCTAATAAGTATACTACATAATGGGTTTTTTTTCTCAAAAAGGGATTTATGAAACCCAAATGAATCCGTTTTGAATAAAATTCCAAACACTGAATAGACAAAAGGAGTGGAAGAATTGATACATTCTTTTGTCAATTTAAAAGAAGTAGTTAAAACAGGAAATCAGACCCCAAGGACAAGCTTTGAAAATGTTTTTTTATAATTATTTTATTATCCTTATGAAAAATTGTATGAAAAGGCTGCGATAGTAGATGATTAAGTGATGAAAACAATATCAAGTTAAGCTCCTTTACCTCCTAAAAAGAGCTAGCATTGCTGTGGTGTGTGGTTGCTGGTTGTTGAAAGTAGATCTTAAAGAAGTCAAAACATGTTTTCGTTATGAATCGTGAACAACCTTTCCTCAATATACATTTCTTCTAACAGAGCCTTTTAAGCTCCCCATGGTCTAATTACCTTACTCAATACCGAACTGGAGTTAATGTCAATATCTCGTTGAGAATACTTATTATTAAAAAGAAATTATAACCTCTTGAATGTGCTACATGATAACGTCGGGTTTCCGGTTGTTATCACATATTTGTGTTATATGGGTGAAATAATTATCTGGTAATCACCGGGAAAAACATAACATTTTCTTTTAATTACATTATTTATGTCATTGCAATCCATGCATCATGTGCTGAATGTGTCCCACATATCCTGGTCCAGTGACTTCATCAGTGTTACTTTATGCATCTAGCTGTGTTATTGCAATCTCCACGCAGAGTTACGGTCCTTGCACTCTGTGATTGAAAAGGAACGACAACTCTGGGTAGTGTGTGATTGAAAAGGAACGACAACTCTGAGTAGAGTGTGATTGAAAAGGAACGACAACTCTTGGTAGAGATTTGTGTTATTTGTGTTATATCTCAAAACGTTTAGTCCATCGCCACCTATACTTATATACCATACAAGTAAATACAAGTTTGGTATTATAATTTAAGGATCCCCGTACCATTATCAAAGAATATAACCAAGTTGTTTTCCCCTGGATGACTAGAGTCTATAGCTCTGTTAAATCATTTCTGAAAAGAAACTCACACCTTGCAGGTATCAACAACCAAAGAGGCAGCACATGTTCTAGGGAACTCTTGTTTATGTAACAAATACAAAATAAAACCTGTGTATTCTGACACACTGAGTTATTCAACCAATGTGTCGGATTCCACAGGGTGTCCAATAAGACAGATTTCAATGTACAGGCACATTTCACCAGTGGTAATGTTCAATTTTGCGAATCAATCTCTCGTTAGATTTCTTGTTATCTTGAATATCGGTAATTATGGTCTTCTATTTTCAGTATGTACTGACCGCCATCTTGATTCAGCACTGCATGCTTGATTATCTCCCTTTGCCGAGTGTGTATTTCCATGAATTAATTAGAAGAATTGAAAAGAATCGTGTACACGTTAATACAGAAAGATCACTTCTATTCCCGATTCTGACTGCTCCTAAACACTCAATTAAACGTGAAGGTAGGCAAAGTAGATGAAGATCATGAAAGATTAGCTCACGTTGCCAATTGTGTAGTATCTTTTCAATTCTACTAATTAACTCATTACTCCGCAGAACTAAATGATCCCTACACCCTGTAAACATACTTATTTTAGCAGTATAGTTATTTCTTACATACTGTACTTATAAGCATGACCGATATACCTTCTCCAACTCTACATCGGTCAGTTGCCAGATTCAACATTTTCCTTCACGAAAATATTATATTATTCATCATGTGCGATTTTTTGCTAAAATAAGTATGTTTACAGTTCCCAATCAAACCAAAGACAGAAGTAATTTGTTCAAAATCATAACACAAAGACATACAATTTGATTTTAATGGCTCACCGACGAATTTATTAAACTATTTGTTTTGTTTTTATTTTGATTATTTTTAGTCCCCCCATCGGGTTCTCGGGAGGGGGGTATAGGTTTGCACTCCGTCTGTCTGTCCGTCCGTTCCGGGACATAAACAAGATTTGGTGAACATGGACATCTTGGGATGGCGGATTGCCGAGTGCAGGAAAAAAGGTCACTATGACCTCACTGTGACCTATTATTTGACCTTTGACCTTAATTTTTGAAAAAGTTTGTCCGGGACATATCTTCTGTAATATTTCATCTGGATTAACCAGATTTGGTGTACAATGACATCTTGGGTTGGCGGAGTGCAAAGCAGTAAGTCACTATGAGCTATTACTTGACCTTTGACCTTCACCTATTCAGAATTAAGGCGGTGGATTCTCCGCTATGTACATTCTGTAGGGAAGAAAAAAACCACCTATATACATTTATTTTATGAATGTTCAAGGATAATCAAACTTCGAAAGGAGTTAGAGAAGTTGTTTCTCGATAAGACCATGTTCAATTTTAGTATATCGCCAATATCGATACTGCTTCATGGTCGCCATAATGGTATGATTAATATGATGTCGCTGCTGTTTAAGCGATATGTCTATCACTGTAGAATTAAGAAAATGTATGTGTGTTTTGAAGTCTTAAAATCACACATATGTCAATACTATGAGGTAGAAAAGATTATGTATAAATCAAGATATCAATACACAAAATTCTTAACAAGGTGGGGAGGATGGTATGACTTATCCGAAAGGGAGGAACAAAGTAAAATATAAACAAAGTCTTTGTCGGTATGGTAATGAATATTGCACTGATGATGGAAATTGGTCTTGCTGTATGTCTATTCGTCTAAGTGTACTTATCTATAGCAAAAGCTAAGCTAAAAATTAACTTTAATATGGGCGCTGCTGGAAAACTTGGAAGAAACTAGGTGAACAAATTGCTTCAAAATCCTGAAACTATTGTGTTTAGATCCAACTAAATCACCGATGAAAGTGGAGGTATGTGAGGGCATGTTAATAAATATGAATATTTAAAAACAAAAATCGGTGCAGAGTGTAATTTCTGATGTTTCCAAATTAGCAGTGTTCATGTTGAATTCAAGCATGTTATAATCCTATGGGTATTGTAATGTAATGAATTGTTAAGTAATGTAATGTTCAGTCTCTTGTCATAATGTAATTGTTCACATGAAAATCAATAAAAAAAAAATGAAATGTAAAAAAAAAAAAAAAAAAAAATCGTTTTGATACCAAATATGTACTTATTTGCTAGAATCTCTGATGCCAGTACTGGGATCTTTGCCAAAAATGTCCAAAATGAGCTAAAAAATCACTTCCTCATGTCATGCTTTAAAGTGTCAGTCCACCAAATGGTATTGCTCATACATTATGCTACATCTATATCCGTTGTATGGTAAACATATTTTTAAGTTCTAAAACCGGTAAAATTTCCAAAACTTTAAATTAAGGGACTTATATTTCTGACTTTCTGCTAGAAGAGTAAAATAGCATTTGTAGATATAAGCATAGCCTTATGCAAAAAAACTCCCCATTGAAAGTGAAATTATCCATTTTTTATTGAAAGAGGACGAATTGTTATTTTGTTTTAGTTCATTGTTTTTTTATTCTACTAATTATTCCAGTATTACGATTGGTTTCTTCCGTGACTTATAAACGAAATGAAGGATCCCTGTCCCACAGGAGTGTATTTTTTTTCAATATGCAGTTACCTCCCTTTAACTACCGTTTGGATATAACTGTATAACTATTGGGCCAAAGATGATTCCGTCGACCCGGTAGTCATCCTCGATATCCAGGGGTTACGCTCACTTTCGCTCTCTACACCCCTGGAATATGCCCGGTGTAGTTCAATCAATCAAAGCGTTAGTTTAGCAGTTAGATGTTCATGATTTCAATCCAGGTCTAGTCCCGCAGTGATGTTTTCCTCACTCGGACGCTGTTTTTTTATTATCTTTTGTTCATTTCATGTTTTTTATTTCTCATAAAGTCCCGAAAGGTATGGTATTCTTTTCTGAAAAAGATTTATCAGTGGATAATACTGGTGGAAAAAAGAACATTTTCCTGTACTTAGTTAGTTTTTGGCATTGTTTGGCGGATTCTTAATACGCATTTGCTCTAAACATTTTCTTTAGGTTGGTAAGTATGGATTATTAAAAGTTCTTCTTACACAACCAATAAAAAAATTAATTTTCTACAAATGACCAGTGAAGCGTATGCACACAAATGCGTAAAATGTAAATGATGTAAAATGCTGTATCTTCAAAACATTTCAGTAGAAATCTCTAGTGCTTTAACTGCAGCGGGACATGGGTCCTTAAAGGGAAAATAAATAACAAAACACTCAAAAAGTTTAATTGTTTAATAAACATGTACTATATATCTTAACTAACATATATATAAAATCTACTAAACACATGTGTAGCTATAAATGTTTTATAAAATATATAGCAAAGCATGCTGTTGATAAAATAAAATAAATGGTGGAAAATCTACAATACTTAAACTATATCGTAAATATGCTTTATATAGCAAATCCGTAAATTTTATATACATCCCTAGCAAAATATGTTACAACTGTATATACTTAGTCGAAGATGTGTCAATATGCATGTACATACCGAATTTGATCATACGTAATTGTGCACAAATCATATTTGTGTTTTAACATAGCCTGGGAAATTCAATGTCGTCAATGCCTGCATCAATGAGTTAAATTTTTCAGACAAAGCTGCAACTTGTAGGTCAGTTACTGCACGGAAAACGATTAATTTGTATGGGCCGAATTTAGCAACTTTGCTTTAGGTTGCGTTATTAATTATGCATGACTTCGCCCGCTTCACAATAGCAATCGACCGTATTCTTAAACTTGCCATAATGTAAAAACATGTATAATATGGCTACAATCGAACTTTAATCTATTGCAGTTTTTACCATGCAAAACAACTATCCAATCTGAATTAATGTAAAGTATCCATAAATATGAATAATAGCGATTGAAACCACCCCATGACTCGCCAGTATTTACGGGAAGTATACCTAAATCTTACCGTCTTCTCAGGAAGCAGGAATATAAGACTCTTTCGTGCCCAAGGGTGTAGGATACGGAAATTCCACCCGAGGGATTTTCAAATTTGGTAAAACCCGAGGCTCTGCCGAGTGTTTTGCCAAATTTGAAATACCAATCTTCCACAATACACACTGATTTGCAAGGTGATTAAACGTTCAAATGTATATATTTACATTTGCACTGCATAGTGCCTAGATAACTCTACTGGTCCCGTTGTAACATATTTTCCAATGAACTACAACGGGGATTAGGTCAGTGTACCGCCAAGTGGCGATGTTCCGCTGTGTTGTGTCTTAAAATGTTATTGTATGACAGTTAAATCGCTAAATGACCACAACATATATTAAAATGGTCACATGTTAGCATACAAATTGGTAATTGACATATATGCATTTAAATTATTAAATTGATGTGTTTACTGTGGAACTTTCTTGATTATTGTTTTGTTGGCCTGGTTGCCCTTGACAACGACTGTGGAATGCGAAACTACCCGGCTGTTCCGAACAATTTCCCGCTGCCCCAGCCGGTGTGTATAAGAGTTTTAAAACAGCAATTAACAATACTCGCAACATTGCACAACTAATATTGTGGGTTTGGAATATAAATATAAGGATTGGTTGTCATATTTTTGACGTTTATTGGTGTGTAAACTACATCGGGCTTGCGATATATTTAACATGGTGGGCTAACGCGCACCATTCCATATATCGCAAGCCCGACGTAGTTTACACGCCAATAAACGTCAAAAATATGACAACCAATCCTTAAATGAATCACTCTTGCGCTTAAATATATATTGTAATGTGATGGAATACAAGTATATGTACAATCATTTCCAATATTTAAAAAACATTTATCTGCGTAAACATTTATCTGCGTAAATCTCTGCGTAAATCTCTGCGTAAACATTTCTGCTCGTTGAGTTAATGGAATGTCTTCATGTGACGCGCAGCTAGCATATACATTTGTGTTTAATAACATCCAATCGTCGATTGGTCTCAGGTTGTTAAATTCCATCATACCCAGCGTTATCAGCACTCCTCAGCAGTCCTCTAAAATAGATAACATATATTTCCATAAAGTGTGATTTTATGCGGCCCTTAGTTACCCCTAAAAGTCAACAAATATTTCACAATTCTTCAATTAACAGAGATGATAAAACGTAATTCGTTGTCCTCAATTATCATTTATGTAGCAAGACACGAAGCGAACATGCTGTCGATACTAGTGACGTAGATAGTACCACAAAGAAAAGAATCTGCGGCCCTTACTTATCCCTAAAAGTCAACAAATATTCCACAATTCTTCAATGAACAGAGATGACAAAACGAAATTCGTTGTCCTCATTTATCATTTATGTAGCAAGACATGAACGGAACACACTGTCGATATGAATGGTTGTAGAGACTACCACGAGGAAAAGAATCTGCGGCCCGTAGTTATCCCAAAAGATGATAAAACGTAATTCGTTGTCCTCAATTATCATTTATGTAGCAAGACACGATTCGAACATGCTGCCGATACTAGTGACGTAGATAGTACCGCATCCTCGATATTCAGGTGTTACGCTCACGTACGCTCTCTGCACCCCTGATATATGTCATAGCAAAATTGAAGGCACAAAGACAGCTGTTTGATTGGTCTCAGGTAAACATGACCAATCGCTAGGATGATACCAGTGCTTTGAAGATTACAAAGGGGCGACACCCGACTTCAAAGTTAAACAATGTTTACCGTTACGCGATCGCGAGATTCTTTACATGTACATCAAAGGATCGAACTAGTCTTCTCGTCTCAACAACAAGGTGGCACACACTGAACCCTCAATTTTGCTATGACATATTCCAGGGGTGCAGAGAGAGTAAGTTAGCGTGATCCCTGGATATCGAGGATGATAGTACCGCAACGAAATGATGAATCTGTGGCCCTTAATTATTCCTAGAAAACAACAAATATTCCACTGTCTTAAATAAATATAGTTCCTGAAACATTATTCGTTGTCTTTATGTAGCAAATATGCAATAACGAGAAGAAATGCTTTACATGTACCTAATCGATGATTTAAGAGAGTGTGTTGCTATGACTACTCGCGATTTGTGGGGAAGTGTTTCTCTACCTACCCGGTGGAGTTGGAGGAGGTTGCTTGTAAACCCGTCGGGTCGGAAGGGAAGCCATGCTCCGAGATATCCCAGTAATCTCTGTCGTTATACAAGTCATTTTCTTCAGGCGCGTCCCAGATCGGAAGGCGCATCACGAGGCCTGCAGACAAGAAAATATACAGTTTATATTGCTGTGAACCTACCGTTCTTTATTAGGAGAATAACCTATGCCTTTGCCAGGGGTGACCACCTAAAATACCTGTGAAATGACCACGTGCTATATTAAGTTTTCTGTTTATGACGAGAGCGGTAATCCGTTTCTTAACTATTAGCCCCACTTCTCCCCGTTCACAACCAGCATCAGTACCATGACTCTATGCCAACATCAGTACCATCACTCTATGCCAACATCGGTACCATGACTCTATGCCAACATCAGTACCATCACTCTATGACAACATCAGTACCATCACTCTATGACAACATCAGTACCGTAACTCTATGCCAACATCGGTACCGTAACTCTATGACAACATCAGTACCGTGACTCTATGCCAACAGCAGTAACATGACTTTATGCCAACATAAGTACATTGACTATATGCCAACATGAGTTCAATGACTATATGCCAACATCAGTACCATCACTCTATACCAACATCAGTACCATCAATCTATACCAACATCAGTACCGTGACACTATGCCAACATCAATACCATCACTCTATGCCAACACCAGTACCATGACTCTATGCCAACATCAGTACCATGACTCTATGCCGACATCAGTACCATGACTCTATGCCAACATCAGTACCATGCCTCTATGCCAACATCAGTACCATGACTCTATGCCAACACCAGTACCGTGATTCTATGCTCACTTCAGTACCGTGACTCTATGCCAACATCAGT